TAGTATAGTATCGAATAGTATCATCTGGAATAGTACATATGGCCGATCCCGACAACACCGACAACACCGACAACACCGGAACACCGCGAACACCACTATCATCGGATACCGCGAACACCGTGAACACTGCGAACCGCGAACACTGCGAACCTATGGCCGTTCCCTAAGGTACAACTCTTCAGGCTATCACTGCTCTTCTTCGCCGTCTTGTACGTATTGGAGTGCTTCCTGAGGATCGAATGAAGCTCGATTACATCCTCGGTCTTCGTGTGGAAGATTTCCTCGAGAGACGTTTGCAGACGCAGATTTTCAAGTTGGGATTGGCAAAATCCATTCATCACGCCCGTGTCCTAATCAGACATAGCCACATTCGGTGAGCAACTTGTGGATTGTCATATCTTTCCTTTTTTTTCTTATTTTGCATGATTATTTAGCCGCGGGCCTTCGAAGTGGGTTGGCCCATTCGTGAAAATTCTTATCTTTAAAATGGCGCTTCTCGTCAGCTTTCGAGGGTTTCTAGAGGGACCCGTCATATTCGTCGAAAAAAAAAACACCCAAAAGCTCTAAAAAAAGCCCAAAAGCGCCCAGAAAGAGCCGGAATGCCCTATTCGCGGCAAATTTGGCGCTACGACATGCGTGTTGATTTCGCAACCAAGTCTTTTTCCTTCGTTTTCTCGTCTGCACATCAAAATAATGTCGAGTTTTACCAAACAACAACCCGGATGAAAGAGATTAGTGTGACTTGGCTTTTGTAGTTTCTAGGAATCCGCATTTATTCTAGCTTCTCATGCAGCCGATTATTGTGTCTTTGTCGTGGTATTCTGATTCGTCCTTCTAGCTGTTTGTCTAGTTCAAACTTTTCTTCCTAGGAATTGATGCCAAGGGCTCACGAGCATGGCTGTGTATTCGATTGCTGAAAGTTTAAGCAAGTGTCTGCATCTCGAACTTGAATGTATGTCAAGAGGCGCGATTTTTGTCAGATGGGACTAATTAGCGCATTTTAAGTGTTTCAAAACGTTTCAAAAAACTTCTGATTTCTGAAGGGATATGTAAGAATCGTTTTCAGGGCAGTTTAAAGGCACCGTCCACCCAAAGTGGGGACGTGTACTCTCTCGCCGAGATTTTTCGTGCGAATTTATATCGCGGTTCGTTCTGTGCCAGGCAATGCTCGGAGACCCAAATGTCACAGATGCTGCAGTCCATATGATTGAGATGATTGTTGTTGATTGATTGATTGATTGCAGTTAATTTGAAATAAATGTCTTGTTTTTTTATTCTTCTATCTTTATCCACAAACGCTAGGGGTGAGAGGGAGGGGGTAAAGAACGGGGTTGAGGGTCGCGCTAAACTCCTACCCGGGGGGGGGGGTCCTATTCGGCTTATTTGGGTGGGGTTTAGAGACAAAATTGGGGTTTGGAGCTCAAAGGCAGCGTCCAGGCAAGTCTGGACCTATGGGGATTTTACATTACAATACCGCTCACATTTTTTGAAAAATAGACGCGAATGTATGGACATGTATGGACATGTACGGACATGTCCATACATGTATGGACATGTCCGTACATGTCCATACATGTCCATACATTCGCGTCTATTTTTCAAAAAATGTGAGCGGTATTGTAAAAGTACTTTTGGGGCCCTAACTAAGCCACTGCCCAAGCGGCAGCTCAAGTAGTGCTGTAATGGCTGAGATATTCCCCTCGAAACTGGACCCCGCGACCGTGTTTCGCATGGATTCATGGCGCAAAGCGTGGATCCTGGCGCGAAACTGCCATGAATCCATGCGAATACGTTCGCGGGGGGTCTGTTTCGAGGGGAATATCTCCGCCATTACACTACCTGAGCTGCTGCTTCGGCAGTGCCTTAGTTAGGGCCCCAAAAGTACTTTCCATGTAAAAGCCCCATAGGTCCAGATCTGCCTGGAAGCTGCCTTTAATTAGGGCTAATTACAGTATGCCGCGACAGACTTGCGGAGCACAAAATCGGGGGGCTCCGGCGCACAAAATCGGGGGGCTCCGGGGCAGAAAATGGAAGGTATCCGGAGCAGAAAATGGGAGGTATCCGGAGCAGAAAATGGGAGGTCTCCGGAGCAGAAAATGGGAGGTATCCGGAGCAGAAATGGGAGGTCTTCGCCGGAGAAATGGGAGGGCTCCGCCGGACAAATGGGAGACCCACCGCTGGGGAAACGGCGCGACCCTGCCATTTCTCCGGCGGAGGGGTTCTATCCGTTGCCTGAGGTAGTTGTTGCGGCTGCACCGACATGGCGTCAGACGACGCCAAATTCATGCAAGTGACGGCAAAACCTGGAAAAAGAAAAATTATGGGGCAAGCTCTCTACTGGCTGATAGAGCCTTTTTCAGCCCTATTAGCCAATGTACACTTTGCTCCAAAATCCATTTCCCTTCCTCCGCAGAAAAAACATCCAAGACCTTCTTTTAATTCGAAAACTCATTTTGTTTCTGCTAACCCTGATAATCGAACAAATCAAGAATTTCTCAAAAACCTCTTACTCAATCAAAATATCATCAAGCTCTTTCCATTAGCTCAACGCCCCAAATGTTGGTATTGGCTAGTGGAAAGAACGGAACGAAGAACGAAGAACGCTTCTACGAGGCGACATACATTCGGAAATTCCTCTATCCTAGGACAGAAGACAATAGACATGCACTCGAAGGTTCCTCTACAATGGATACCAGCCGAACACCTAAAGTGATTGTTCAACAGTGCATCCGCACGAAAACCTGAAACTCGAAATCGGAAAAGAAAGAGCTTAAGGCAACATAAACACAAAAGGCCAATGATTAACACGAAAATGCGGAGAAGAACGTGTCACAAACGATCTGAGCAAGTCGAAAACGAGAGCAGCATATTTTCGAAAATGCATAAGCTGGGTGTCAGCGTAACGAATTGGTTGCATACTACAATCGCCCTGAAGGCGCTGTAGCCTGGAAACTCCCGGTGAAATCGCAGATTTCTGGCACCTCCGGGCACGTGCCCCGGAAGTCGGTGTTTCGGCTTCTTGTGACGTGACCGCGAGCGGACCACCCCACGCCCCGCCCCACGCGCCAGCTTCAGTAGTTAAGAACATACCCCGGAAGTACTAAAGATTGTGGCTGTTTCCCCGGAAGTCTCTTGCAGTCGTCTGAGTGAGCTTTTCCCGACGTTCTACAGCTAAAATAGAAAAATAGAGAAATTGTAAAGTTTACCCACCTACACTTAGTATTGAACAGGCGCAAAAAGTGCAAGCTGCAATACCTTGCGCTTTATTCACTTCACGATTCGTTGCAGGCACACAGAATTGCAGAGAATAAGAGACGATACAAGCAACAAACGTCAACTTTTCTACTTGGTAGAAACAAAAATTAGAAAATAGCTTAACCATCATGCCTCGAAATTGAACGTTTTCACTCAATGCACATGTGTGAATGGGCCGCAAAATTTTCGAAAGTTACTCGTTATGAGTCAAATAACTTGCTTTTATTTGTGAATAATTCAAATAATTATTAGGATTCTCTGGAATTCTGGATTAGATGAGAAATTTCGAAGGTGTGGCTTCCGTTAGGCTTCCTAGAAAATACATTGCAAAGATATCTTTGAAGGAAGTGACTAAGGGCCGCATGCACTAACCTCCCCGCTGGGGAGGGGATCGCAGCTCAAAAGAAAGCTTTATATTTCGAAACTCCAGATACCTGGATTTCACATTGTGTACCTATCCGTAAGTATTCCTACTACCCTTCACTATGAACATGTTGAACAGGAGCGAGAAGCTGTACGAACCGCATTTTCCAACTTTTGTATGATCCCTGATGATCCCCGGCGCTTTTCTTTGAAGTCATTTTTTTCTCCGAAGTTAACGAAAACCTTCCAAAGTTGTACTGAACATCTAACACAACAGTGCTAAGCATGTTGCTGATGAGAACAAATGAGTTTTTGGAAAGTCGAATTTTTTGGTTAACCTCAAATTTCGACCTGTAGATCATCGAAAATTTCATGACTTCAAAACATCATTTGTTCTTATCAGCAACATGCTCAGCACTGTCGGTTTAGATAATCTGCACAACTTTGGAGGTTTTTCATTAACTTCGGAGAAAGAAAAATGACTTCAAAGAAAAGCGCCGAGGATCATCAGGGATTATACTAAAGCTGGAAAATGCGGTTCGTACAGCTTCTCGCTCCTCTTCAACATGTTCATAGTGAAGGGTAGTAGGAATACTTACGGATAGGTGCACAACCTAAAATCCAGGTATCTGGAGTTTCGAAATATAAAGCTTTCTTTTGAGCTGCGATCCCCTCCCGGGGATGTTAGTGCATGCGGCCCTAAGAAAACGCCCCTCCTCTGAAAAGACCCTCCCCCCCCCTCAAATTTCTCTATCTATTGAGTGTGCTATTGAAAGGACGATGATAAAAGTCAATTGTCGCTTGCCACCCGTCATTCTTTTTCGGGTATGCACTTCCAAATTACACGGTGACTTTGATAGAACGTGTTGTAAGATCATTCTTTTAGTTATTTTTAGCAATCATATGGTTGAAGTTACGAGAAGAAAAAACTGGTGACATCAGGGGCGTAAAGTGCAATCATATCTTGCTTCGCGGTCAGTCCGAAACCATTTTCATAATTGATTGGAATGTCTATTGTAGAGAAAATTACTTCTTTAAATTACAGGAGTTGATGATGGACGTTTGCTTGTGGTGGGTATAGCAGCTGACGGCTGAGGACTGGAAGTGACATTTAGAGGTCTAACTCACTTTGCTTGTGGCGAATTCAGCGTTAGCGCGTCCTTGCTAAACCTATCCAGAAAATTACAATTTAGTTACTTTTTCCGAGGCCACAACTAAATAAGCTCACCCTGCTGTCAAGTACAGTATCAATACGAGGAAACATGAAGTGTTTAGACGCCATTATTAGTAATAAAAAAGCGGCTCATCCATTTGGTTTCATATAGGAAGAACTTGAACGGTTTTTTTTGAATAGCAGATAAAAAATAGGTCTTATCAAGAGTTTACCACTGTACTCCTTCAAATGCGAACATGACAGTGCCGAAAAACAATTGAAGTACAGACCAATTAGCAACTGCTAGTAGAGACCGGCTTGGGCATTCGATTTGGAATAACTGTTGGGGGACGATGCACACAGCAGTCAGGTAAATTACATTGCCTATCACCGCTAGTGTGGCCAAAGTCTAAAGAACAGCACTGATTGTACTGCATGCGTCATACAACTCAAGATTGAGCGTTTGATAGTTTTCACGTTGGATAGATTTTTCGAGTTCACTGTGTACAAACTTTGTGAAAGCGAGAGCAAGAGTATTAGTTTATTGCTAATGTACAGTCAAAGCAAAAAATCTTTGGCAAATGAGCCTTTCTGGATCAAGTACTAATAAAAATGTTGCGACCTTTTTTTGATATTAGCCATGTTGCCCTTAAAACGGAAGTGAAGCAATAATTATTTATTGGGCAGAGATTACGGTAGCACTGAACAATGTGCCTCCCTCGAACTCCTTAAAGTGCTTAGAGTCTCAGATTCAAGTGAATTAGCTATTTATTCATACCACTCAAAGACTACAGTAAGATATGACCAGCTTAATCACTTCGATTGCTACAACTTCAAGATCGATAAGCTCTGAAAAATCGCTGAGACCGCAAAAGGAAATTATAGAAATGCTGGCATGAGCTAAATAAGTCAGTAGAAAACAATTTTTTATAACTGATTCAAGACAAGACCGAAGAAATTAGCATTTCATTTGCAGGTAAGCCTAACAATTGGTTAACTACCCTCGGGTATATATAATATTGCCTAACAAGCCCAAATCTATTTCATACATATTCAGAGCAGCTTACGAACAAGGAAAGCTCAAAATTTATGCATCTAAACTACTTCTTCTTACCCGTGGGCGAACATGAGTTCAGCAGTTTATGAAAAGCAGAGTGATTTTGGCCCGCTATAATGTCACATAAAGTAATATTTCGGTGTGTGAATTGCTGTGATAAACAAAAACGTTTTTGTAAGCCTGTTAAACGTCATCTAAACTGTCATTTCACATCCTAGGAGTTTGTAAATCAAATATAGCTCAAATCTACAACTGCACTGTTATTTCTGATTTTAATAATTTCTAAAATCAAAATAAGATCATTTCAGCCTCTTTTACCTTCAATGTTAGTGTCTTCCTTTTAGCCTCTCTTATCTCGCAAATCGTGCACAATGCTATGAGTGGTACGAGTAGTAGAGCAATCCATCCTGCTTGAGAAATGTAGATATTGGATATGTGTCAAAAACCGAGAAAAAAAGAATTTGATCCCTGTCATGTGGCAAATTTTTGTAACACTTCATTTCTCATCAATAAGTTTGCAACAAATGCTCTTGTTGCTTAACGCCTTATCGCACTTTCGTTTTTGATTATCGCCTAGCACAATACTGCGGACACGCTGACTAGCAGTCAATAAAGGATAAATTCGTGTGCTAAATTTGGTACTAACGTCAGTTTTGTCCATAGCCTGCCCTCGATCACTGTTTCAATAAAAATAAAACAAAGTGGATGCCCTTTTGCCATTCCATTTGGGAGAGTAAAGACCAAGTTCGAACCTATATATAGAATAGCATGCAAAGAATATTGTTTTTGTTGCACTGTATTATTGCGCAAAAACTTAAATTTTGCAAAGAATGGAGATATGCACCACTTACAAACTTACAATTTAGATCGCTGCTCACATATTGCATCATCAATGTCTGGTCCGCTAGTTTCTATTGTGCTTTCAAATAAATGTAGAAGAATTGTTTTTTGCCTAGCGCAGCAAAGTACACGCAACAGAATCCAAATTGTGCCAAAAACATGTTTACATTGACTACTTGCCTAAAACACAGTATAATTATAAAGTAGAACTTCAACAGAATTGATAAGCTCACTTCCAGAAATATCCATGATCTCTGATCCAAGCTGATCATAGCTCTACAGCTGATCTCATAAAGTTTGCGTAATCTAACCGTGGTTGCAGCTTTCTGATAATTATTTTGTGAAATAAAATGACTATTGCATCAAAAATTGCAAGATTCACATGACGCCAATCTAATGTTGAGCAAAAACCAGTTGTCGAGTGCAAAATATGCATATCAAGCGGATACCAGCCAGAAGTATTAAGCCAAGCTAAAAGAGTATGGGAACTATTAGGTTGGCACATAAGTAATGCAACTTTTTATATAACTTTTGTCTGTTTGAACGTAGCGCATTCATCTTTTGGCAATATAAGGAATATGATGTAAGCTTCTAGTGCACACATTTTTGCCGAACTTTACCATCTTATGTGAGGATTACGGTAGGTTTACGGTACTATGGAAAAAAATTTAGAATGCATCAGATTTTGCTGAAACTTGGCCTATAGGGCTTATTTTGACATGCTGATCACAAAAATGAGATCGGTTTCGCATGAAAAGGCCTCGTTCGTGAGATCAAAAGATGAATTTCATTTTAGCGACAAATGAATATGATATTCGTGTTTACCGCATAGGATTACCCTATAGTGCAAAGTTATAGCGAATTCTGACTTTTCGCAGCTTAGTTATTGACGAATTGCCTTCAAAACTTGACGCAATTGACTTGTTCAACTTCTAAAAGGCGCCCCACCTTAATTTGTGTTTAAATTTCATTTCTTTTTCACTGATTCCAATGTGCCAACTTCCAGCTACATGCTGCCTATAATTGCTTTTTCATATGTTTGAATCAGGTTTCGTAGGGCTTCATGTTTGCCAAAAAATCGTGAAACCTCGATTTTCAGCAGTTTTCAAAAAATGCTTAGATTTTTTGTACTACGTTATCAAAAATCAAACGGTTTGCGCTGACTTGCAGCTTACATCACGATCTACATGATGCCTCAAAATGAGATTGCTACATAAAATAGGAAAAATGTTACGGGAAAAGTTGCAAAACTTATGTGCCAACCTAATATTTTGAAAAATTGCAGGTAATACTCACCCAAAGCCCGGAATGGGTGAAAGCTAATGGAAGTGATAACATTCCCGTACCCATCATTACCTGAAACTTATAAGATTTGATAGAGATCAAGAAAAAACAGCATGAAATTTGACTATTGCCAAAAAAATATCTAGAAAATTCATTTCTTCCAAACGTTCGCTGTACATTTTGATTCTAAGTCCCTTTTTTCCCAATTTTTTACTAAAATGTTAAATATGCTCTGCATCTGTTCGTCCGCACAAATCATGAATCTGCACAACACAATGGTATACCTTAAACATGTGTATGAGAGCTTGATCAGGTGATATCGACTCGCGCTCTCTGATGCGTGGAGCAAAGAGTTCCTGTATTGTCGGCTCCCTCTAAACTTAGCAATGTTTAGAGTACAATCCAGAGCAGAGTGTGACAAAGCATAGTTTTCTTGGATCACATTTTTCGCTGCCACATGGAAAAGAAAGTAAACAAAATTCTGTGCTGGGTACGGTTGACTTTTTGATTTACATTTTTATGAGATTATTTCACATAAAGACTAATGTATTTCTTCTTCTTAGATTTCTTAGATTTCTTAGATGGCCCGGCTTCACGTGACGTGCGGGCCCCAGCTCAGAAGTTTCCATTTCTCCCTGTCCCTCGCTTTTGACATCCACGATCTTCTTGGCTGACATCGGTGCTGCGTCCACGAGTTCCAGGTGCAAAAATCGTATCCAGCTGATTTCTCAGCTGGTCCATCCGTTCCACGAACACGTCTGCCCATCTCGTTGGTGGTCTTCCTCGGGGACGTTTTGCTTCGCGAGGAATCCACTCCGATGTTCTTAATGTCCATCTGTCGTCTGTTCTTCTCATGATGTGACCGGCCCATCGATGCTTCGCTTTCGCAACGTAATCCGCTAGGTCACGAAGACGGGACATTCTCCTCATTCCGTACTGCGAAGTCCGACGAGATGTTGTTTGTGTCGGGTCATCTTCAGAAGACTACGCTCTAGCGTTCTGTGGTCCTTAAAGCGTTACGCAGCTGAGACTTGGGCTGACACCGTCGCCACTTCGAAAGCTTTAAGGACAAGGTCCTTGAAGCTTTCGAAGTGGCGACGGTGTCAGCCCAAGTCTCAGCTGCGTAACAGAGCGCCGGGAGAACGGTTGAGTCGAACAGGTGGGCACGAAGCTCTGGGTCCGCCAGTTGTTCGGTGGCTTACTTCAGAGGCCCGAAGGCGGCCCAGGCTGCTCTTCTTCTCCTGTTAAGTTCTTCCCTCAAGTCGTTCTCCATGTTCATCGAACGTCCGAGATACACGTAAGAAGACGTCTCCGTGATAGGGGTGCCTTCCAGTTCCATTTCTGCATCTTCGCAAAGGGCGTTCTTCATGAACTGAGTCTTCTTCCGATTGATTCGCAATCCGATCTTCTTCCCTACTTCGTTCAGTTCCTTCAGCATCGTCTCTGCTTCAGTGATACTGCTCGAAAAGAGAACGATGTCGTCCGCAAAACGAAGGTTCGACAGGAATCTCCCATCAACTCGTATGCCTCTCTCGTCCCAGTCCAGTGACTTCATCACCCTCTGCAAGGCCGCGGTGAACAGCTTCGGCGAAATTGTGTCGCCTTGTCGAACCCCCTTCCCAATTTGGATGGTCAGGGGGCGATGGAATAGCTGCATCGTCGTTGTACAGTCCTTTTAACAGTCGGCTAACGTCCTCACGTAAGCTGGGTCCACTCCTTGATCGACTAGCGCGGACAGGATGGCGTTGGTTTCGACGCTGTCAAAGGCTTTCTCGTAGTCGACAAAGGTTAGGACGAGAGGTAATCGGTATTCCCGGCAGACTTCTATGACCCTCGAAACCGTCTAGATGTGGTCCATGCAGCTGAATCCTTTGCGAAATCCAGCTTGTTCTTGGGGTTGGGCTTCATCCAGTGTCCTAGATATGCGAGCGAGGATAATCTTCGTGAAAAGCTTGTACAGCACACTCAGCAGGCATATTAGACGGTAGTTCCGAAGATCTTCCCGTTCACCCTTCCTGAAAAGAAGGACGGTTCTATGTTCTCCACTGGTCGGGAATCCTTTCCTTCTGAAGGTAAGTTGTTAGGTGCGACGCGAGGATCTCGTGTAGACGTTGTCCTCCAGCTCGCAGAAATTCGACGGGAAGATGGTCTGGTCCTGGAGCCGTGGACGTCTTCATGGTCTGAATCGCTGTGCGCACTTCAACAGGTAGAGTTCGTGGTGGTACTTCTCCAGTGGGAACAACGGGCATCGGCACGGGTGTTGATGAGCGGAAGAGGTTGGTATAGAAGTTCTTCGCGATAGATTCCATCTTGTATCGGGAGGAAGTCGGAATCCCGTCTTCGTTCAATAGTGCAGCCAGCGGTACGTGATATTCACGAGGTCCCTTCGGCACTTCTTAAGACTTGCTTCGGCTGCTTCCAGCATCTAGGCTTGCGTACTTCTTGAGATCCTCCTGCAAAGCTGTTCTGCAACTGGCGTTGGCTATCAGTCGCTCGAGATGGGTTGCATTCGGATCCTGCCTTAGAAATCTTCTTCTTTCAAGCATTTCCTTGGTGGTCTTCGAAATGCGTTCAACATTCTTCCCGGAAGTAACTGAGGCGCACTCTCCGCAGGCTCGCAATCCTTTCAGAAGCCGGTCGTAGTCGTACATTGGGTCCTCCTCGATGGACCAGTCACAACTTGATATGAGCTCCTCCAACCTGTTACCGTCTTAAACAACATTCTTCCTTCTTGCGGCACTGTGGCAGACCTTCTTTTCCAGCCTTCGACTGAATCGTACCTTCGCTCGAAGGAGGCGGTGATCGGAGCCACTGCAGAAGGATAGAACTACTAAGATATCGAGCAAGCTCCACCTTCGGTCGGTGAGAATGTGGTCGATCTCCGCGTGGGTCGTTCCGTTGGGCGATTCCCATGTCCACCGGCGATGTTCTTTCTTCATAAAGATGGAATTTCCATGGAAAAGTCGTGCGGCGGAGAGAAGCCCAACAAGACGGTTGCCGTTTTCGTTCCGGAGCCCATATCCAAACTTCCCGATCCTATAATCCTTTTCCAGTGGCATCCCGATTTTCGCGTTGAAGTCGCCCACAACAAACTTATAAAAGGACTTCTCGTTGCGGACGACCTCCTTCACATCTTCGTAGAAAGCATCTAGTTCTGATTCGTCAGCTGCTGATGTTGGAGGATAGCAGTTGATGATGCGTTGAAGTTGAAGACTAATGTATGGAACTCCAATAAAGAGGAAATTCTGTATGGAAAACTTGGTACCTGGCAAATGATAAAGAAAGGATCTTGGAAGTCGATAGCATTTGGAAAAGTATATTTAGTGCAAAATGTGTGAGTAAAAGGTTCTAAAAAAACTAGCCATCCAACTCTTACAAAATTGTCTGAATCTTTGTGGTCATCGCAATTATATGCTCGATTGAATATGATATAATAAGCTGAGGCATGCAAAAAAATTCATTTTGTTTGAATAAGCAGCACAAGACTAATTGTAGAATATGTCAAAATAACATAACGATACTCACTTGCAAATAGGGTGAAGCATTTTTGCAGATGTAAGACTTGAAGCATGGTTATCTTACACTGACATTCCGATGGATAGATCGCTATTGTAGATCGCATATCATTGAGGTGTTTTATTACGCTGTTTTTTTTTTCAATTCAAGGATTGTGAGCTATGCCAAAAGTTGATTTTTTAACATAATGTAAATGATTATAGCTGAAATAACTACCTCTGCCGCCGCAAAGGCTTCAGCATTGCCGTTCATCGTGGACATGGAAGAGATAGACATAGCTTGAAAACAAACACCACCTTTAATTTGGAAAGGAAAAAACTTGGAAGAGTTTGTAAAAAAATTTGTTTTTGTGGGCTATGATTGTCAGTGTAGATGCGTTTTTATCGAATTTTGTTACGTTAGAAGATAACGAAAATTTATTGTGTAGATAAGGCAATCATGCTAATTGTGCTTTGCCATCAGGGCTCAGTACTAGTAGTGTTTGTGAGCACACATGGGTAGCTTGAATATCTTGAAGGATGCTTTTCTGAAAACAACGTTAGCTGTAATTGAAGCTCACCGTTATGAAGAAAAACTCTCCATGTAAAGCTTAAAGAAAACATACTTGCTTCTGTAAATAGATCAAGATCAAGCTAACGATAAGCACAGCTAGAACAACGGAGGGGGGGGGGGGTGGAGCAAGCGGATTACTGTTCTCGACCGAGAAATCAAAAGAATTACCAAGTGAAGGCTAGCTGTATGGTTTTGGAAAAAACTTGTAGATTTAAAGATTGCCGAGACCAATATTTAAAATCCGCCGTTCTTACTAATTTGCAAAAAAAGTCAACACAAGCCACTATTTACAGGCATTAACACATGCTCGGACTTGCCAGACAAGATAGGTTTTGGAAAGGGCAAATCATGCATTTTCTAGCAGCCCTTGAGTCAAAAAAAGTTTGCGTTTATCATACAAAAGAAGGATACTTGGTCGAAGTGGCGTTTCCATGGGAAATTTATACTATTTTATAGAGCACTGAGAACGCTGAGTCAAATCTGCTTTCCTTATCTGCAAACTTCTGAGAGGGGAATTATGGAATTTTGTGACGCAAAAATTTCGAGGGCGCAGCTACAACAAAATCTTTCATACCGTAGTCTGTGAGCTTGGAGGGGACCATGATTACTGCCAGGAGCTTCTTGCAGTTAATACCTTCATTCTGATAAATTTGATCTAGTTCTTACTTCATTCAAGCGCCGGTAAGACCTCAACACTCGTTTTACCTTAGCCAAACCCTGAATCTTTGCTTTAAAAAACGCTCGTAACTTTCGTCCCAAAAGAGCTTTGCAGATATTGGAAGCAGATTAGGAATCAGCGTTTTATGCTCTATAAGATAGTACACGTTTCCTATGGAAACGCCATTTCGACAAGTATCCTTCCCTTGTTAGACACTGGCTAATAAAATTCTACATTTTTTTCGGAATGTCTTCAAAAATACCTTCCCTCTCCGGAAGTAGAACCGTATTAGAAAGGAAAACTATGGAAGCAAATAAAGGACATGAAAGTTGAAAAATGAATTATTTGGACCTGCATATGGAAAGTGTTTCATATATTGGGCTGATGCAAAATTAATGGTTATTCAAATTTCAACTTTGAGTCAACTCTATTTCCTCAGAACGTTTTATAAGCTCAGTAAAGACTGAAGCATACTTTTTTGTGTGATTGATGCCATTACAACAAAGATTTTGCCTCAAGACTGTCGAAGAATTTTTTGAGGGGCTCCTCCTTGGGAGAGCATAAGTTACTTTGAAATACAGTAGTGTGGCTCACACTCTAATCATTGTGTTGTGGTGCCTAGCTCAGGTGAAAGATGCTTTTTTAAGAGATACTAGTGCAAGAAAATCTAACAAGTCCGCTCAGGGCTCGGCACAGTTGGCACCGGGTCAAGCTGGATATCGTTTTTAGGGAGGGAAGCAAAGGGGATATCGTTTTTTCGGGTTCCGCGTCGGAGAAGTGCCGCAAGAATGCCGCCGGCATGCCACCGGCATGCTGTCCATCAACAAACAAAGGCCTCGTTCTCAGCCAAAATGAAACAGTATGACACCAAATTTGGTGAGTGCATGCGCGTTGGTGGACCGGAACTATAGCCCTTATAACTAATTTATGAAAGCTTATGTGAATGAAAGCTGTGCCGAACTTTTTCTGAATTAGCTGGCACCGTGTCAGCTGGGTGCCAGCTGAGCTGGCACCGACACTTTGCTCGCATAAGTTTTCATACTTTTCTACATAAAATGTATCTATACTGTAAAAGTTTACATACAGAAAAGAAACATTTTCATAATGTTTTCTTTTCAGCGTTTTCTAGCAATTTTAAAAGTACTCAGTCTGCTCTGCAATCGTGAAAAAAAAATCGCTTTTTCTGCTTCTCAAGATGTGATTCAACCACATAAAAAGCTCGGAAATTTGTGAAAAGTGGTTTCATGAAATCAGCATGCATGAAAACCCTACTACATACTTTTACAGAATCCAAAAATAATGACTTGTCTTCAAAATTGGTCAAAGGGGACTTCGTACGAAATTTACAAGATCAAACGGGACTTCGTTTCGAAATTTCCCTGGTGCCAGCTCGTGCCGAGCCCTGAGTCCGCTCTTCAGAAGTTTTTGGGATCAGCAAAAAACTTGCTTGTTGATTTTCAATTTCTATTGAAAGCGAAAAAAACCCTACGTTCTCTGCTCCATAGATGCACTCGCCTACTCTTGCTGTGTCGTGTAAAAACACAGCAGCGTTGTTTCCCTAGGATTTCCACAAGCCATGAAGAAACATCGTTCCAAAATTGCAAAATGTTTTCGAAAATTATGGCTCTATCTTGCAGTCCTTGAAAGAGGTAAGAAAAATCTGCATTAGTTTTGTTTCAACCATAAGTTAAAGCGCAAATTTTTCAGTGATCCATACACTCCTTTGTACGTAAGACCAGTGGCCGTATTCATCAACGAACCCTTAAGGTTAAAATTTACCTCAGCTAGCATTTTAGTTTATAACCAGGGTCATGGGGTGCGGCACGCCGTACCTGGGGGGTCGTATTGAGGAGTCTAAAGGGAGGGGGTCGTAGTTGGGTAATCTGATAATAGTGATAACATGATATTCGTATCCTATCCATAATTAGCATGTCAAATAACCCCGTTAAACAAAGTTTGAGCGAATTCTGAAGATCCAAGATACTAGGCTACCTAGGTGAAATGGTCATTTTCCAACATGGTTAACTTTGTTTCAAAGGTGAATTAGCTATCCGTTTTTGCACTCAGGACAAAGCACTAGTCCTTCTTTGTCCATCTCAGGAATCCCGCTTCAGAAGACCTCCAAACTGTGGAATTAGAAGCCAACCAAAATCTCGTTTTTCCCATTTTTCGCTTTTGATAGCCGTGCTTTCACCAACTATTACCCAGAGCAAAGAAAACAAAAAACGGATAGCTAATTCACCTTTGAAACAAAATTGACCATGTTGGAATTTGACCATTTCACTTAGGTAGCCTAGTATCTCGAATCTTCAGAATTCTCTCACACTTTGTCTACAGGGGCTATTTGACATGCTAATTATGGATATGTTGCCCTTTATGTTTGACAGGGCCTTCAAGTAGTGCTATCTTAAGTGTGTAGTTCAGGGGGGGGGGCTTATTAAGACAGCACTCAGGGGGGGGGGGGGTCGTAACCAGCGATCGTGTGCCACACCCCTTGCTTGACCCTGTTTATAACCCGTATTCACAACATGATCGCAATGAAATTTTTTCGTGGGTTAAGTCTATCGTCGAGTCATTCGTAACTTAATATGCGTAGTGCACACTAAACACGTTAACTGACGAACAGCAAAACTAAAGCCTGCTCATTTTTAGTGATTTCTGTTTGTTTCCTTGTCTCTTTTGTTTTTGTTGGTTACATATTAGTCAATAGAACTTATTTCTACACTTTGCTGGGCTAAAAAATGTTTCACGGAAAGTTACCAGTACGAGTGCCGTCGCTAACAGGGCTTAGTGTGCAATCTCACACATTAAGTTACGAATGACTCGAGGTTACCTTGAGGTAGAAATGAACCTTGAAGCACATAAACCCCCAACTCTATTCATCAATCTACCTAAGGTTAAAATCTACCTCCATCATCATTTCTCCTTCACTTTCCATTATGCACTCAAGGTAAAATTTAACCCTAGGATAACTAGGGTTAAAATCTACCTTAACTTTGCAGTGAACAATTGTACTGTTTTAAGGACCTCCTTAATTCCAACGGAACCGTTTTTAAAGACGAATATATTGTACTCCTAATAGCTCAAATTTTGCTTGTTTATTTAGTCTTTTTTCTTCTCATCTAGTCATGCTTTTCAAGGTTTCGAAAGTTATTCAATGAACATCAGTGGGCGAACCATCGAACCAATCATTGACAAGTACATCGGCAATTTGCAATTCGAGTTAGCTCCTCTTCAAAATTCTTTGCAACTTGTGGCCGTCATCGCAAACTCATAAGAATAATATTTGACTTTCTAAGCTTTCATTTATAACAAAGCTCTAAACTGTACAAGTATGTATATGGCGGAAACGGCACCCCCTTCACGTTTTAGTGTAAAAGGTTGGTTTTAGCGTAAAAGCAGACGTAATAAGGAACATCTCAAAGGCAGGATAGATCACGCACATCCGCTCCATTGGGTGCTCACAGAGTGCAAGATCATCAAGGAGTTGGTTTTGGTGTAGAAGTTTCCTAACGCGCAGAGCAAACATCCACTTGCAAACACAAAAAGCCTTTTGAATTTATTTTAGAAGCTCCAAAATGATTCTTAAAAAAGAATGTCTCCATATCACGCGAAGACTCACGCTATATCTGGATAAGATCTCCTACTGTGAAAACATGGTTGATTCTTATCAAGCGGTCACTAAGCGATCTCTCAGAATTTCACCCGCAAACGAAAGGTGAGTACTGCGTGTAGCAAACTGCTTATGATCAAGAAAAGCAAAGAATTCTGCTTGTAGGAGAAGATGTCTGGTCGGGTAGTTTTTGAAGCCCTTATTGCCGAAACGTTAGTGTAAATAGATAATCGCCTATCTCGGTCGAGTTAGAACTAAATCGATGTATTCATCCTATTATAAAGTTTCGTAAAGGTACTGTGTGAGGACTAAAATGCAAAATTTGCAACCCCAAAAATTGTGATTTGAGATATACCATTTCAACATATCACTTTCCTCCTAAATAATGTAATGATGATATAATTCTTGGAGGTTGAATCACTAATTACACTTGCAATATCTTCCCTAAACACT